TGAGCTGCAATCTAAAACAGAAGGGTCTCCTGTCCCACCAGAGGCCCTGTTCTCTTATCAGATTTACACTGGGTGTGAAAATAATTTATGATGTGAGAATGCCTAAAGACTCTTTTGTGCGTCTTGCACACATGAAAGAGAAGTTTCCCTTTCTTCTATCATAGTCTTAGCTTTAGTTCAGACACAGCAGCCGCCAAGTCCCGGCTCTATTTATTCGACTGGTAAATTCCCTTCCTTGCTTGCTCTTCACCTGTTGCCATCAGTCATCTTTTTCCACACAAGCCTAGGTCAGAATACAACACAGCGATTGAAGTTCTTCTTATTTACAGTGCCTTGCAAAAGTATTTAAATGATCTGAACGTTTCTGCATTTTTTCATTTTACAATATCAAGCTGCTTTGAATTTCAGTGGGATTTTGTGTGATAGTTAAAAATAAATTATTGCATAATTGCAGAGGAAAATTAAATAGACATCCATTTTTTAACCCGTTCTACTAGATTAAAATTTAAAAAGTGAGGCATATTAAACCTCTCCTGAGTCTATGTATTTTAGAAGCCCCTATAGCTGCATGTCCTCATAGATGATGAACCCCACCTCAGGTTCAACTCTTAGCCACAAGTTTTCCAGAGTTTTCCAATATTTACTTTTATTCAGTTTCTGCTCTGACCAGTTTCCCAGTCCCTGCTGAAGGGAAGCACTCCCTCAGCATGACTCTCTTACCACCATGTTCTGCAGTTGGAATAGTTTGTCCACAGTGATATTTACTCTGCACCATGTAATTGATTTATTACAGAAAATGAAAAAAATGGTCTTTTCATGACTAGAGCACCCTCGATCGGTTTTTTGACTGATGCTAACTGCAAACATAGGACTTCCTTTGGTTTTGTTTAACACCATTTGAGGAGTTACGTGACTAACGGGGAGCAAAAAGCAGTGATCATCTGTCTGAACGGTAAGTTAACGGAGTTCACTTTAAAGTGCACTATATAGTCCCCGCTCTATATAGTGATTGAGGGGTTTAGGGGTTAGGGCGGACGTTCGGACACAGTAAGTTCGTATAAATGATAAGAACAGCAACTTTTAAACAGAGCCTGCACGAGGAGAAAAGGGCTTGTGTATGGTCTTGCACACATTTAATAGGTGTTCCCTCTTGGGAGCGGGTACAGAGTTTTGCATGTGCATTTTATTAAATGCAGGCGGACTGGGTCTTTAAAAAAAATAAAAAGTGAAAATCTTCCACAATACCTTTAAGGAAAATGTTTGTCCTTTAATGTTATTCAATTGTTCTTGCACTTGAATTTATTTAGGGGTATCAAAGTAAAATAAAAGAATAAAAATACATGGCACACCTTTCAGGTTTGGATTAATAGATTTATTTGTCAGGTAATTTTTATGTCACTGTTATCTCTGACTCTGTCACAATAAATTCAAAATTAAATTATATTAAAGTTTTTGGTTTTGAAGATTCAGAAACATGTGTAGGGGTTTAAGCGATATAAATACCTTTGCAAAGCACTTGATAGTTTTAATCAACATCAAACTACTCAACGTACAGATTTTATAATTATGTTATAATTAAGAAAAACATCTGTCACAACTGAAATGTAAATTTAAAGGAATTAAATAGTTCAAGAATTTTAGTGAAAGGAAAGTTTGAATCTTAGATCTGAGGATTAAACTCTGAACATATGTTGATGTTTAAGTGTTAAGAGGAAAATTGTTTTAGATAAACTTATGGTTTTCAGTATAGTCTTTTCCCTTAATTTATCTCTTCCATTTTGAGCTACAGTGCTTTTCACTGACTGCAGATCTGTACAACATTAATATCTTTTTGATTTTATGTAAATTTAATGCCATAAATGGATCAAGTTCATGAAAGCCTGTAGAATGGATTTCACTTTTGGAACAGTTCAGATAAAACCATGTACCGTAGTGTGACCTGGGCTTTAGTTGTGTCTACCTCTCCTTTTTTCTTCCCAGCTCCCATCCATTTGTATTCTCTCCTTTTCTTTCACCCTCCTTCTGTATGTCTTTGTATTCTCAGGGTAGAAGTAGTGCAGACACAGTTAAGTGTAATATATGTGCCTGCAGCTTTGCAGAGTTAGCAGGTCCCCTGTTGTCTGAACTTTGAGCCTGACCCCCTTTTTCTTCCTTGTTGAAAGAGACGGAGCTTCACAGGAGCAGGGAGCTGACTTGGATGGAGCTACAGACGGGCTTATGCAAGTGATGAAACAATGCTTACAGTTTTTAGAGGTTATATTTTATTAAAAATACAGGAGTGATATTAGAAAGCTGCATTTCTACATTTCTGAATGTCTGGATAATAGCAGTAAAGGATACTCAGCAAGATGTACATGATTGGACAGAGCTGGAATAAAACCACTCCCTGTCTAACTTTCATATGACTCTTCATTCTGATTCTTTTTCATCCCAAAGACTGACAGAAAAAGCTGATTTCTATCCCGTTTGTGCCCTACAATCTAAAAATACGACCAACATTCAGCAGCTGCCTTCTATACTGCTAATGAATTCAGCTCATCTCTATCTAATTATGGGCTTCCAGCAGATGTTGATTAATATGCCAGACACATCTTCAGATGTCGTTCACAATATTAAATTACTTTTGAAACTGTTCCTAAGATCAAATATAGCAAAAATAAGAGAGAGAGAACATTTTAAAACCATGTGAACAGAGGCAGAATCACAGCTTGGATCATGGTGTGGATGACTACAGTTTATTTCCTTTTCTAACCAGTTCAACAGATCACAATAAAATATTCAAACACATTCATTTCTAACACTGAAACTATAATAAGCAGTACTGCCAAGAAATGGTAGCATTTCCTGCATTTTCTGTTGCTTTCCTCGTTAATTTCACAATATCCTGGTCATAATTTCAGCCGTTGGCTTGTGTTTATTAAAGAGCGACAAAGATTTTACGTCCCACCCGCTAAGTTCATTCGTGAGGCAAGTAAAGCATCATCACTGATCTAATTCTCTTTTTCTGCACTTCATCCTACGAACATGCAGCCAGGATGTTTCTCTGTGTGAATCTGTACATGTGGTTTCAGGTGGTGAGTGACTACATCTGCGCTCGCAAGCATCAATATTTGTGTGTGTACAGAACAAGTGTTTAGAACTAATTAAGCTTAGCCAGCTGTTGCCATGGTGAGAATAGATGTTACATCACTTGAACCAGAATCCCACCTCTCCCTGGAGGGGATGGAAACGCGCTAAAACCAGTAGGGCTGGTGGTCCTCATTTCCAGCTTAATGTGTTGTTTCATTCAGATCACCTCCCCACTTTCCGTATCTAAAAAGCAGGAGCCACAGGTCTCTGCTGTGTGAGTTTCTGGGGGTCCAGGGTTTCGGTGAAGGGTGGGGCTTGGTAGGGGTTGGTGGTGACGATGGTGCCGCCGTTGGGGATGGGGTACGGAGTGGCTCTGACGTTTCTTGGAGGAGGGTCAAGGTGCTGCCAGGTGAATAAGTTTGTTTTGCTGCCGGTCATGTAGCGTCGGAGCGCACTTAGTGTCAACACAGCCTGTTAGAAACCCACACATGAAGAAGAATTGACAATCAGTCTTTATTTACATGTTCACAGGTATCCTTCAATTTTTTTTCTTAAACTAAACTAGCTTAAGGTGGTTTAACAATAGAAGACATAATTGTAGAGGTGAAAATGGCTCTGCATCTCTCACAATTTTAGCAAAAAGGGTGTTTCATTATTGTGGAAGCTGCAGATAACAGGCCCTGATTGTACTATTCAATCACTCAACCTCCAATTGTTCCAACAAATGCTCCTAAGAATGATGACAACCTTTAGTCTAGAAAAGTGTACTACTTTTTAGGGTGGTTCTAAAGCCAAAAACCAAAACACTTAATTTATCATTTCCACTTTTCTCCTTCCTTACTTTCTCAATAACTTGTCAATTGTTGGGGGACAAAGTCTTTGATTTATCATTCGTTCTACGTTCCCACCCTCACCTATGGTCATGAGATCTGGGTAATGACCAAAAGGACAAGATTGCGAATACAAGCAGCCAAAATGTTCCTTCGCAGAGTGGCTGGGTGTACCCTTCGAGACTGGGTGAGGAGCTCAGTTACCCGGGAGGAGCTCGGAGTACAGTCATTGCTCCTCCACGTTGAAAGGAGTCAGCTAAGTGGCTTGGGCATTTTTTACGGAATGCCTCCTGGTTGCCTCTCTTGGGAGGTGTTCCAGGCATTTCCTATTGGGAGAAGGCCTCGAGGAAGACCCAGGACATGCTGGAGGGACTATGTCTCTGAACTGGCCTGGTGTCACCTCGGGGTCCCTCCAGAGCAGCCGGAGGAGGTGTGTGTGGATCAGGATGTCTGGAAATCTCTGCTTTCTGCTGCTTCATCTGCAACCCGGCCCCAGATAAAGCGGAAGAAAATGGATGGATGGATGTCAATAAGAAAAAAGTTTTCATAAATCCCCAAATCTCTCTTCATTATAGAGTTTTTTCAATATGTGTCGGAGTTTGGTGCTCAGGGAGGGATGACAGCAGACTTCAATTGTGAAGTTATGTTTGCAAGTCCTTAAAAAGTGGAATTTGCTTTTTGTTTTTGTGCAAAATACTGTTAATAAACACAAGCAAATAGGAATATATTATCCTACTCCCACTTTTAAGGGTAGCCTTAAAAATTTTCTTTTTGATAAAGCTTATAGTTAGAGTGGCTCCAGTTATCCAGTGCTATCTCTATAGTAATGCTGCTATAGGCTTAGACAGCTGGAGGACATAGGGACCCCTTTTTCATCATTCTGCTTTATTCTATCTCCATTCTCCCACTCTACAGAATTAGTTAGTTTAATCTTTAACGTTATGCTCTCTCTACTTTTTCTCATAGTAGCTTCATCTGGTCTGTTCCTATTTGGCTGTTACACCATCCTGGAGAGAAACTAGTTTTCCTTTCAGTTTAATGGTATGTTCTGGTTAAATTGTCTCTGTAAAGTGCCTTGAGATGACATTTGTTGTGAATTGGTGCTATATGAATAAATAAACTGAACTGAAACTAAAATGTGTATTTCAAACTTCTAAAGATGAATCTCAAGAAAAGAGGCACAACAATAAGGAGTCCATTCTAATTGTGATGGAAATGGATGTCTTGTCAAAACATGAAAACCTCAATCTAACCCATTTATTTAGGAAGCAGAAATCATCAAAATAATAAAGTAACATGAAATAATACAGCCTTTTTTATTTGGGTTGTTGAATTAGTTACTCATCTTTCCTTCATTTAACTCTAACCTACATTTAGAAAATGGATCACCACAGGCTCCACCATGCAGCTATGATGGAGCTGAAATGTGAAAAAAAAAAAAAAAAAACTTGTGAAACCTTAGGGACAACTTCAAAATAACAAACTCAATGCACTACTCTGTGACATAACAAAGTAAGCATATACATAAAGCAAAGTCAAAACACCAATTCTTGTCATGATTAGAAGTACAAGTTTATCTCATCCTCTGTGTTTATTAAGAAGTTTACCAATAAAGGTTAGGATAAAGTTCACAGAGAAACACTGTACCTTTTTGATGAGTTCAGTTGACATATTCAGCAGCAAAACGAATCTATTTAAGCCTAATCTAAGTATCTTAAGAAGCTCAGTTTAAACACTTTTTGAGGACTAAGAGGAGCCATCTAACTCATAACTTTTTGTGCTGCCTTAATCTAAGTTCAAATGTCAGCTTTTAGTCTAACAGGTGCAAAAACAGCATGCAATGCCATAGTTTAAAATTAATTCAATTATCTTTATATTAATATGTACAAACAACCTAAATGAGGAGGCTGATGGATCTGATGGTAATAAAATAGAATAGAATAGAATAGAATAGAAAATCCCTTTATCATCCCCAATTAGGGAAATTGTGGTGTTACAGCAGCAAAGGATTATTGCAAAAGTGGTAATACAAATATGGACCTTAAAAAATGTATAAAAATCACAGAATAAGTGACAGAGTGACAGAATATAAAATTATCACTGTTTACTTGTGACTGGCTACTGAAATTATTATCAATGTTAACTCCCAGGTATTTAAAATGCACTTGCTAGATTTTGACTATGTAGGACCACTGGGAGGTGATCTCCAGCTGATGTGGGATACACCAGCATCTGCACTGTCTTATCACCTAATAATGAGTTGGTGTGCACTAACCCACTGTACACCTTGTGGAGGGAGATACTGTACAAGTTAAAACGTCTCACAGCATATTGATTTAGCTGGGAGCTATTACAGTTGTTAGTAAAAAGTGTGAATATGAAAGATTTATGTGACTCGACCCTACAGGGATAGCAGGGCTGTTAAATGCAATATCAGAAAAGCTTCACCCACTGTGGTAAAAAAAAAAAAAAAAAAGAACAGGAAATAATGAGACCACTTAGTTCACAATCAACTTACACTTAGCTGTATTTGTTTTTTGTTTTTGTTTTTTGAAGGATGTGTGGCTAAACCAAATTTAAAACAGAGAAAAACCATGAAAAGATAGATATGAAGAGAAAATCTCTAGATTTTAAAACCAGATGCTTTACAGTTTAAATTGCATAATCTCTACTTTGTTTTTGTAAAAAAATAAATAAATAAAATTATCATTGATACTGTAAGAGAATTTAGAGCAATGAAATGTTAGAAAAAACAATCATAGTGATATAGTAAATGGTAAAATACACTACACTTTTATAATAAATAATTTATGTCTGGATTTTTTTATTTTAATTTGCAGTTTTAAGCATTCCTTTAGTTATAGTGGAACTGTAGCGCCTTCAGCTCTAATTATAACTGCACTGTGTAAAAATGTGTCAAATATTAGGCAGCATAAAGGATGAAGAGGAGTCTGAAACAGAAGCCTGTTTTAACCCATAAAATGAAATGGATTGGGATTGTGTCCAGCAGATTCCAATATTCCAAATAATCCATGGCTTCTTAAATACATATGAGGATGATGATTAATGGTAGTGTGTGAAAAAAGGTACAAACCCAGCTGAGGATCGAAAAGAAGCAGAAAGCGATGATGGCTCTGGCAGCATCTGAGCCCTGGGCCAATGGCAGCTCATCTGGAGATGTGGCCTGCCACTGATTGGCCAGAAAACAGAATCCAACAAACCACAGAAAGCTGGCCACCCCTAGAGGAGAGAAATAAGATTGTGTTTCATGTCTATCTTTAATTGTTTTTATCTTCCCCCCCTTTTTTTTATCGCTTTGTAAAAATGAGGAAAAAACATGTGCAAAAGTTGGATTTTTTTTTATTACCAGAAAAGATGAGGTCTAGCAGCACGGCCCGTTTTCGGTCATTGAGGTTACTCATGGAAGGGAAGTAAACATCGAGAATCAGGAAACAGATGCTGCCAAGGAAACAGGCCACGCCCACCGTCATGCCATAATTACAGGCATCAGCGTTTTTGTTGAAGACACATAGCAAACGCTCGCTACCGATGTTGATGTAGCCCTCGTTCACAATGCAGCTAAACACCACAATGGAGAAAACCTGAAGACAGAGAAACATCAGGGATTAAATTCACACTGATGGACGAAGGCCTTCCATTTATCACAAACAATAATATAAAAAGGTAGAGTATCCTCAACCTATTATTACATTCCTCTAAAATGTGATCTGTTCTATTAATTTATTAACTAGACAGTGCAAAAGTTTCAAAGCAGTATTAAGTCACCTAATTTAGGAAAGATTTGCACAGAAATGTTTGTTTGTATCTATTTAACAATGAGGCGCAAAGTCAAAATCATCAAGATCAAAGATTGTGAGAGTGGATAAAATGAGGAACGTAAAAAAGAGGAGAGCACAGAAATAATTTTAATAAATAATAATAAATAATTTAAAATAAATATAGAAGCTTTATTTTTCTCAGTGACTCATAATGGCTTATTGTTGGACTTAATATTAGCAAAATAGCAAATAAAGTCAGCAAATGTTGCTAACCACAACTAAAAGACAGACTGATGGCCTGAAAGCAAACCAAAATAAATAACTTAAAAATTTTTCACCGTAATGATAACATTTGCCAAATGCACTGAATTTATTTGGCACCTCTTTTCCCAATACTAATAGTGAGTGACTAGTGAGTAGCAGTCATTTATGTACACACAGCCCCACATCATAGCTCAGATGGATAGAAGAGAAGGGTGACCTACCATTGACCTTAACCCTAAAGATACTTTCTCCATAGTCACTTAGGAGTCCTATATTTAATTAAAGATAAAGAATATTGTTCAACTCATTTAATGCATATATTATGTAGAACTATAAATTAATTTAAACCACACTAATGTACAAATATGTGCATAGTTTTATCAGCATGGACCCTAATGAAAATCTAGTCTGTCTTCAGTTATTTTTTTTGGGAAAATATAGATGTTGTTGCATTCATTTTCCAATTGCCTATAGATTATAGGCCTATAGATTGACCATAAGATGTTTTTGCCACTTATCAGTTTTCGGCCACCCCTCAGTGCTCATTGTCCCCTCACCACCCTTATTATAATTTTCTGGAACCGCCACTGATCAGGAGCCATGCTAATGGGGCCACCGCTGGAAATCCACAAGCCATCACAGTAAAACAATAATACTTTTGGGCAGATATGTCATTATTAGAAAATGTTACTTACTAGTTTATATAAAGACTAAAAATGTAACTGGTCTGTGTGTTTGTCTAATAAAACCATCAATTCACTCTGGTTCCTCCAGTTTGTGGATTTGCTGTATTCTTATGTTTGTCAGTTGGAAATGTTGCTAATATCTATTTTAAAAAAATAAATAAATAAACAGCCTGAAATGCTTATTCTGATATTTTAACAATAAAACTGACTTGACTTTGATAGACAGAAGCTTTAGAATGGGGATTTATGTATTGCATTTAAAGCAAATTGGTTAATTATTCATGTTAAAGAACCCCTCAGTGTGTCTGTTTAGTTTTTACAGCTGTTTTGTCCTTTTCATATTTACCTTATTGCAGTTCAGTTTACCTTATTCCGATAAACCGTGTAAATATGAATAATGAGGGAAAACAGACACATGATGACTCACAGCTGCACAGCATCACAAAGGAAGCTGGGCTTTCATCCTGATCGAAGCTTTAAACACATAAAGCTTATTTGCTTCTATTAGAAACAGATCATTTCGGTTTCTTATTGAGCTTTGTGCGCAAACACAGCTGCATCGCTTCAATGGAAAACAAGACAATGTGAGGCAGAAAGAGAAAGGGGGGCTGCAGGCAGGCCCGTCCATTCACGCAGAGCCGCATTTGACATATGGCAGAGGAAGAGGCTTACCCACGACAGCAGTCTGAGGATGGTGCGAGGGTGTGTGAAAAAGGCGACCGGATCAAAAGGGACGCTTCCGGCCTTCCTGGCGCCGTACGCGCCCGCTGCCTCCATCCCTCCGATGTTCAGCTGCCTGAGAGCGGCTGAGAGAGCTAGAAGAGTCGGTGAGAGCAGCCCGGAGCGGTGGGGTCCCTCCTCCAGCCTCCGGATGAAGTCACAGCGCGTCACCGAAGCATCTGAAGCTGCAGCATCAGGACCAACTTCAGCTGCTACATCTGAACCAATCCGTGTTTTTGTTTTACTGGTTTATCGATAATCGTGGTTACTTTTCAGCCAGACGCTACTGATTTTGAACGAGTTTGCTGTGGAGAATACATCACCAGCAGAACAAGGAGCCAATAAAGGAAACCGGCTCTGTTCAAAAACACATTGCTTTAAAAATTAAGAAAATTTGGTTCTGTTATGTTTTCTTTTGAGTATTCAGTTTTACTTTGCTCCATGTTTTCTAGGTATATTGATTTTATTTTTGTTTTTTTAAGTATTTATTTTTTTCTCTCTTGTGTTGGTCTCCTTTTCCCTAGCTCCTTTCTAGACTCTTCTCTTCACACCTGCTCCCAATCAGCTCGTTAGTCCCTTCTTTGTTTCAGTCTCCCATTAATACTCTCCTTGTGCAGTTCCTCAGTGCTGATTCATCGCCTTACTTCGTCTCTCCTCGCCTTTCCATGACTCCATGTGCTCTTTTCCCCTGATGTCTCCATGGTTCTGGTTAAGTTTTACGTTTTAAGTTGGATTTTGGATTCCTGCCTCTGTTACCTGTCTTGATTCATTAAAGACTGCAATAACCAGGGGCGTAGGTTTGATTTCAACTTTGGTAGGGACACCATTGGTCTTCAGTTTCATTGGTCTGATGTTATTGGTCTTATGAAAAAATATGCATGCTCTTTTTTTATGCTTAATGTAAGCATCAGGGCACGTTTTGTTTAAAGAGAACAGCAGCTTTTCTTGCTACATCAATACAAATCTTATAGGCACTGCACACACTAGATGATGTTTATTAATGTTTAAAGCATCACTGGCTCTGACCAATGTGGAATTAGGTCTTTTTTCCACTTTGAAAAGGTATGCACTGTTAAAAGCGCTGCTGCATGAAAGACCAGGCAGCTGCAGCTACCAGGCAGAGGAGCTGCGAGAGGAAAAGAAGCCACAGCTGCAACAACGCTATATAGTAAATTATAAACATGTTGTTCACATCAAATTATTATTAGGGACAAATAGGTCGGTCCAAAATTTTGGTAGAGACATGTCCCTATGGTCCCTATGCAAACCTACGCCCATGGCAATAACTCACCTCTGCCTCTCAGCCTCTGCATTGGGGTCCTCAAACCTTACCAAATCCTGACAGATTGTGTGTTCAGTCAAGTGTTTCTTCCCCTGAACCGCTCCAATACAGACCACTACAGGAGATCCATTACTGCCCAACATCTCCCCAATCAACAGCTACACTCTTTAAAGAAACTAAGCTATCATAAAGTTACAGAAAGATTTGGTTTCCCTTTGGTTTAATCACATAACTTTTTATCTAATTTAAAATTCCTTTCATTCAATTTTTAGTATCTCTTTTTATAGTGTTTGGTCTGATGCTGTTACCACAGCAGATGATGGAAGAACAGATCAATCTCCCACCACAGATATGCAGCATCTTGCTGTAAATGCTGAAGGACCTAAGCTTCCTTAGGAAGTACAATCTGCTCTGTCCTTTCTTGTAGAAGGCTTCACAGTTGGGTCTGCAGTCTAGTTAGTTGTCCAGGTGAACGACAAGGTATTTATACTCCTCCAGCACCTCCAATTCTGCTCCCGTGATGTTAACAGCTTTAGACTTGTTACAATTTTTACTTAAATCTACAGTCACCTCCCTTGTTTAATTTCAGGATCAGATGACTGTTTCCGCACCATGGTAGGAGTTTATTAGCTCCCTTTAATCATTGTTTTCTAATCTAATTTCTGGGGTCCAAACCAGCCGGGCCCTCTTGCATTACCTTCTATTGGGCCGTGGTGGGTTGTTTTTGAGGTCTTATAGTTACTTCATCATGTTGGACAGGTTCAAAATAAGTGGTTTCTGGACTCTACTGGTCCAGCAGTAATTATGCCTAGGTGTGGAGATTAATCAAAAATGTGATTAAATACAGCTTATCTAAGACTAAATGTTTTCATAGGTAGCTGTGAAATAAATAGTATGCATACAAGAACGTTTCTTGGTGATAAAACTAAGGAAATGTTACAACAGAGAAAATAGTCTTTGGCAGCATTTTATTTCTGTCAAATAAACCATACCATTGAAAAAAAATACTTAAACCACCTGACACACTCGGACACAAATGTTGTCTTGGCTTTTCTATCAAAGTTCCTCTTTGGTTTTTTTTTGTTTTTTTGCTTCCTCCTCTTTCATGGCCTCAATGTACTTCCTCCTGTCCTCATCCTCCTGGAAAAGCAAAATACAAAAAATATATATTTTTATCACAGAAACTTCACAGTTCTCATATTTAAAAAAAAAAGATGTAGATTTACCTTAACTCTATCTTTCTTTGCCTTTTTCATCTCTTTATCAAGAAACCTAACCAAGTCTTTTATCTCCCTTTTCCCACGGTAAATCACCATCTTCGAAATAACAAAGGAATACATTTATGTTTTATAAATTATTTAAACAGCAAAAAAAAACATGAACGTTTTTGCATTTGAGAAAGCATAAATTCATCCATGCTTCATACCCTCTCAGCGTAAAGAGCAGGAAACAGGCAGAGTGATGGGTAGGACCCCTGCAGAGACACGTTGATGTCATTGGCCGAGGCATCGATGCGAGCAACAACTACATCCTTGCGATCCTTCAGAACCTGAGCTAGCTCCTCCCACAGCGGAAACACAGTGCGGGACTTCTCACTGTATGGAACATCTAGGATTTAAGATAAACATTCAGAGTTGGTGAAAACAGTGAGCGGGGGGGAGTTAGGAAGCTCCCAAGGGCCCTTGACTGAGGGGAGCCCTAAAAGAAGAAGAACAGATATATATTTCAAACATATAAAAATATTTTAAAAAATCCAGCAGAAAAATAACTTATCTTTGTGTTCTCCCTCATTTTTAAGCAGTAAACAGTGAAATAATTTATGAATATATTTTATTAAAATTTGTGTCAATATAAAACGTAAAGTTAACGTATAGTTAATGTATAGTTAGATTTTTATGTTCAGATTCAATAACAATCAGATGAAATTACAGCCATTAAAAGACATCTATAAATGTTGATCATTCTCATGAGCAGCCTGAAGCAGACACACCAAAAATACATGTTTTGTAATTACAGGTATACATGAATGAAATATAAATTTTCGGGGCCAGTATAAAAATAATCTGTCCTTTAATAAAGTTATAGTGAAACCTAATAGGACTATATTTTCACAATCCAAAACCTATTTTCATTTCATTTGTACATAGATACAGCTGTGTTTAAATAATGTTTATGATACTCTTCTGTGCATCTTTATAGCAGTTTTAAAGCTTGCATACTTTTTGTTTTTTTTGGGGGGCGGGGCACTAATGCATTGTCTTTCATGGGGCCCCAATTTCCGTCCTGTCTAGGACTAATTTAAACTGAGCTTAAGCAGCAAATTTCTCAGATAGAAATAAAATGAATAGAGCTTACACTCTCACATAAGGGTTGGGAAATTGTAAACTTACAGAATAGGACAAAAACAGTCTTGTTGGGGTTGAATGCTACTTTCTCCAGATTGATTCCCACCAGCTCCTTAACAGGCTTCTTATCCCATCCTTCAGGAACAGGCTCACTCTGCAACTTGGGCTGTTAAAACCACACAAGCAATTAGCCAACCGAAATAACTGTATATCAACCAACATTTCTGTGTATGGTTTACCTTGGCTTTGCCTTCAAGGTAGGACTGACAGAACTGTTTTATGACCTCCACATCCAAGGTCTCAGACGGCAAATTGTAGGTCACATGATCCGTCAGGTTCACTAGTCGGATATGAGGAGCTTCAAAATGCCGGACACGGAAGTACTCCATGAGTCTGCCGTTACGATGTTCATCCACGTTCACCAGGACAAACAGAATCTGGGCAGAGACACATAAAGGTATATCTTCAAGGCTTTGGAGATCAAATGGGTACTTGGTGATGAATAGTTGAAGATATAGAGTTTCTGAAAGGAGCAGGAGCAGATGTTTTTCCATGTCCATTTTCTGAGATCAAAGGTTTGCTTTTAGAAAAGTCAAAAACAGGAGCTTAAGATCTGGAAATTTACTGTGAAAATTTGCCACTGATTGGTCTGATATGAATCTTAAAACAGTCACTCTAAATGTGTACGTCTGTTAAAAATCCATTCTTATAATAAACATAAACAGTCTTTGAAAATCAAAAAAGGGTTTAAACTAATCCCTAATCATTAAAATTCTAAGAGACACTCTTTCTTCAAATCTTATGGATTATCGTCAGAATGGATTTCTGTCAGTGCTAAAAAAAATGTTCCTTCCTGTCATTGTTCATTTTCATGCAGGACAATTTTTAGGCCTTAGAAAAACCATTAACCTGGATCTGCATCAAAATTCTGATCAGCACATTATTATTCAATGTTTTAAAAGAGCAGCAAACAAAAGTCAATACTGTCAACTTCATCAAAATGTCAAGGAATTAACCCTAACAAAAATGTTTTTTTTGGCTTAAGATCCACCGTTTTTACATATCTATCTATAGCTGTAAACCTTTTCCACATTTTGTTACTTTAAAAACAGAAACTTGAAACAGTTTTATGAGAACTTTACCACTCCAATGTAGTGTGTGATTACACAGTGGGAGGAAAATAATGCATGTTTGTTTTTTGTTTTCATCCAACTTCTTTCACTATGAACTAAAATTGGCAAATTTTTTTAATCCTGAATGGAAATGAAATGCTCTTGTAACCTTATTTCTATTTGCTGTTGGCATGAGGGATCTCCTGTTGCGCTTTGTCCTACAGTATATCGGCAGAAGCCTTTAACTCCTTTAACCTCCTTAAGGAGAACTACCTGCTCTTTCCCTTGTTTCCGACAGCTTTAAGGCTCCAGCCTGTCCCTGTCCTCATCTGCTCTCCTTTTTAGTGACAGACAAGCAGAGGAGAGACTATATCACACTTCAGGTCCTGGATAGTGGTACCCAGAAACCTTGTCAGGTCTGTGCTGTCAGTGAATTTTGAGAGTTTGACCGATTAGTCTCCTTAGACGTACATTAGTTATTGTGTAGAGGAAAAAGGAAAGTGGGTAGAGTGCTGATAATTAGGGTGCTGGATGTGATGGTTGAGGATGAATGTGATGTTGAAGGTAAATTTGGATGATATGAATGAGGAGGAATATCCCCAATAGTGAAAAAATGAATGAGTTTGTTTGTTTATACCTTCATCCTGAACTCCTCTGCAGCACTGTGGAAAGCAGAGAAAATCTCTACAAAGTCCTCAGAACTTTTGTTGACAAAGAGGAGAGCGTGGTTCAACACAGGGGAACCAAGGATCAGGGAGGCTGTCTGCAGAAAGAGAGAAAGATGAAAAACATACATGATTCCTAGCAAGTCCAAGTCAGAAACAACTCAGAAAACTTTGGGAAACTAATGTCCTGTAATATTAATCAAACAACTTTGATGGGACAATGAAAAAATATAGTGTTAAAAAATGTATTTGGTGTTCAGATGGAGGCCAAAAATGAAAGCATTCAGCCAAATTTAACAGCTTGTGTTAATATGAAAAAAATACTTAATTAACCTGCTTTTGTGCTGCCAGTACTCAGGTTTTTAAAATGTCTTCTCTCCATAACAGAACCAATTTAAATCAAATCCAATTTACCACCTTTTAACAATAGAAGTGGAAAATCTGGGGCTTAATATAAACTATAAGTTAACTTCAGGATTACCAACAAGCAATTCTGTAAAGAAACTATAAAATATATTAATACATTAATGCATTAATTTTCCTATTTGGCTGTGACACCATCGTGCAGAGAAATATCAGCTGTACTGCTGCCATTTCACACCTTTGTTTTTTGATCCAATATTGGCCTGTTTTTCAGTCTACACCTGTTTCTCTGACTGTGACTGGCTGGATGTGCTCTCTTCATCCTCTGACATGGGAGCTGGCTTGGAGCTTGTCTGCCTGGCTGTGTGTTTCCTGGAAAGGGCTAACTTTTACAGTTGCCTTTTGTATCTCTGCTTCTGTCTCCTTGAACCCCAGTCGGCCTCGGCAGATGGAGGCTCACACTGAGCCTGGTTCTGCTGGAGGTTTTTTCCTGTTAAAAGGGAGTTTTTCCTCTCTACTGTCGCTACAAGCATGCTTAGTGTGAGGGATTGCCTTTAAGTCAATGAGTCGATGCAATCAACAGGTTTTCCTTAGATAGAAAACTTTGAATCAATTTGACTGTATGATCTGGTGAACTGTAAAATGCCTTGAGATGTCATGTGTTGTGAATTGGAGCTATGTAAATAAATTGAATCGGAATTAATTAAACAAAGTAAACAAATAAAAGCAAACATGAGTTATTAATAGTTTACTATTAATATAAACTATTCTAAAACCAGATTCAAAATAAATAAATCAAATAAATAGATGGAATAGATTCAAAATAAAAAAATAAGCATTAATAGGGCATCAGCTGTATCTTTAGAGAGGGTCTCATCAGCATTTTTAAAACTAGGCTGAAAGCTGATTCCATACAAATGGTTTCTGATAGCTAAAGTCTGTGCTTGTCTTCCACATTTAAGTTGTCTTCGAGCAAAGGGCTCTGAATTATAAGCCATGACTTAACTATATTTGATTATGATTTAAAAAAAATAAGGAGGATTAGGGTTAGTGAGAAACCTTTAAATTTTTTTAAATCCAGAGTAATAACTTTAAATGCAGAAAAAAGTGTGGAAACGTGGGGTCACCAACCGCAGCATTTTGATTATCCTGTGTAACAAATGCATGAAGAGGTCGTTCTAATTGATCCTGAGAATGATACCTTAGAGATGTTTCGTCAGATGGTGGAGAGTGGCTTTAGGTAACTGTGTAAATAATGGCACATTAATGCCATCCAGAGAAATTAATTGGCAAATTCTTTCTTAAGATGCTTAGGTTAAAAACCAATCACCTCTGTTTTATTAGGATATAGCAACTGAATATTAGAGAACATGCTGGCTTTTAAAGTTATGCCTGTTTTCTGGTTTGCTGTTTGAACTTATTCCTTAGCCATGGAGAAAATGTCTCCTGCTAAAAGAGAGCTGAGCAGAGGACAACGGTAAACTAGACCTGCAGGCAGCTTTTCAGAGACAATGGATTGTTATTACAAAGAGACACTGGAGTTGATAATCTGGTAGATATTTTAAATTTTTTTCTATTATTCCTGACCTGACTTCCAGGCACTGTTCATCAGCTGAATGAAATGTTCTAGGTCTTACATTTGTTTACTTTCTTCATTCAAAGCTCCCACCCTGCACAGTGTTCTCCTATGATCAGAACCTGAAAAAATTTAGCCAAAGTCTAAAAAAGAAGTGACACACCATTAAAAAGCCTGGAGAAATGTTGAAGGTCTCTTTAAAATGTAGCATAAAGTGTGGTTCCTTTACAGTAGAAGTTTCACACAGTGCTGCACCTAGCTGGGTATGTTTTATTTAGTACCTGTCCATTGTACTCAGTGACTGGATCCATCATGTAGACGGAGATAAACCTGATCAGCTCCTCTTTCTGTGTTTCTGGCTTCATTTTGAAGGTCTGAATGAGCTGAGACTGTAACACACAGAAATTAGACTCAGAATGAATGGCTGAACACATAGAAAAAAAGCACAGAAATGCAAAAAATACAAAAAGTTGCTGCTGCAAATATGTTTAGAATCAAAACCTAAACAAATTTATTCATCCGGTTTATTCTTTTTAAATATTCATTCTATATAAAAGCCTCTACCTGTAAGATATTATGGAGTAGTGTGATACTTATGCAATAAAAAAAGTTTTTTAAAACCCCTCCAAAGCTGGAGTAGTAATCAGATTACATCATTATGAACTTATAATTTTGTTTATTCTGGTCTGCTAACCAATTTAAAATCAAGCTTTTTTAAATACAGACAGAACTATACTATTTTTTGCTTGTTTCATTCTAGTTTTCTTGTGTATACACCAGTTAATGATGTATTATTTGTCCTGTCAGTACTTTTTTAAGCAGAAGAACAATATCCTGAGTAGCACTGTATTTGCCGAAGTCTTCGTCGTTCTGTATCACAGCGAAGCGGACGTCAGGAAGGTCAATGGCTGTGGCGTAGAACACCTGAACGTAATCATGGTTCAGCTCCTTTACACACAGAAATAAGATGGTTAGGACTCTGAGAGAAGTCTGAACTTCTGAACATAGAAACATGTTTACCTTGAAGAAACCAACCACTGTTAGATCGTCTGAGGCCTCTAATTGGCTGAGATCTATGATGAGGTCAGCAGGTGATCCAGCCCTCCTTTGTAGCCAGATCAAGATGGAAGCTGAGCTCTGAGGAACTATTTAATAGTTCATATGAGAAAGTTACTTAGTTATATTACAAGCATTTTAGCAACTTCTTTAAGGTTCTTTAAAGGCAAAGTCTGGTCATATTCAGAATTCAAACTTCTGAAAGTACTTTATTTATATATATATATATATATATATATA